AATGGAAGTGACTACTTCAGCAAGGATCCAAAGAAATCAAATTGATGAGACTCATGTGATTTTCTGAACTTCAAAAAGAAATTTTCACCCTAAAAAATTCTATGGGGACCATATAATTTCTCAGTTTTTATTTTTTTAGGATATTTTACAATGCTACCACAATCTAAGATCTAAGATTGCCATGAATTCACTTAAGATATTAGATTTCAACCCCTCAAATTTAGAACATAATCTACAAAGAAGGGAAAATTATAACATTAAAATACTTATACTTTTTATATATTCCTATTTCTCTGTATTCATTAATTATTTAATTGAACTAATCATTCATTTATTCTATTTCATCAAATCTTGTCTTGTGAACAAGATGGGTCTGTGGATCAATGACATTAAAATAAACAAATGCAGGGCCCCTTGGGTGGCTCAGTTGGTTAATCATCTGACTTTGCCTCAGATCATGATCTCATAGTTCATGAGTTCAGCCCTGTGTCAGGCTCTGTGCTGACAGCTCAAAGCCTAGAGCCTCCATCAGATTCTTTGTCTCCCTCTCTGTCTGCACCCTCCTCCTCCCACCCCCGCCCATGCTCTGTCTCTGTCTCTCTCTCTCACAAAAAGTAAACCTTAAAAAAATAAAATAAACAAACACAAACAAAAGATTGCTCCCAGTGGGTTAAGCTCAGAATTTTGTGGCTTGTTCTGTTTTCTATCTACAGTCTTTTCCTGACATTCAACCTCAAGAGAAGTAAAATACACATTTTCAGAAGATTATTTCCATGATGTCTCTATTAAGTATTAACAGTAATCCAAGACGTGGAAATAGAGTCAAGGATGACATTTTTCCTACCTTTCTTTTATAAGACTCCCTGTTTCTTGGCTGAGGAACAAAACATAGGCAAAGTACCATGGGGAGTGGTGAAAAAAAAAGTGGGGATCCATCTCGTTCTTCTGGGATATTTTTCAAGAACATTTTATCCTTTAAAAAATGTTACTCTTGCCTTGTTGCCAAGGTCAGTGACAACTTGGATAGTCCTATAGGTATGAACTATGTTTAAATGTGACCTGGCAAGTAACATGTCCCTTCTGTGCTCTCTCACTTGAAAGCATTTCCAACATTTCTCATTCAAGATAAGTTAAAATACCTTTTACCACACTTGCTCAGTTTTTCCTATTCTTTTTTTGTTCTAGGAAAAGAGAGTAGATATATTTTCTCTTCAGAACTGGAATAGCACAAATGGACTTTGTATGTGGCTAAGGAGGAAGTTTCCATGTAACTTGTCCAAAATGTGGATAGACGAGTGGGTGGATTTAAAATGATTCTCCAGCAGAGAAAAAGTAATGGCATTTAAAAGAGAGAGAGAGAGAGAGAGAGAGATTTAAATGAAGTTAAAAAGAACTACAGAGGGATCACTTGAAAAAGAGCCATAAGGAGAGGCAAATTGTTGGCATGCAGGTGATTGCACATCTTGCGTATTGACTGGCCCGAGTGGCAAAGGACTTTTACATCAACTTGGGGAAGTCTCTGAAACCATGTCCTATGTCCTCTTTCTTTAAGCAGGTTTATTGAATGTGTCATCTTTCTGCTCCCACCCACCCTCCACTGTGCTTCAGTAGAGAAAAGAATGGCCACAAATAACAGATTTTGATACACCAATATATGCCAGGGCCATTACAGGACTCAAACTGTATAACATGAAGGCAAACACCCTTATTGTGAGAGTTAAGTGAAGTTACTTACAATCCATGCCTCAGTGAATGGCGTTTTCCCTGTAATCTCTTTGATAATGGCTTCCCTTTTTTTGTGGGAGAACATTATCTCCAATGGTCCACTGTCCATCACCACTACCTCCCCGTCCCCTCCCTGTAATGCTTAGGCAACCGACCCTGTTGCTGTGGATCCTCTGAACTAGCCACACATTCCCAGAGGACACCCTACACAGTGCTGGATAATGTGAGATCCCCAAGGTGTGAGTAGGTGGTGGGAATGGTCAGGGCTGAGATCACACTGTTTCTGCTTGCACGTCAGGGGCTCTGTGTGTGCAGACAGTATCCTCTGCTGGTTCCATTTTATAGCCACCATCATCTCTGGGGTTTCTATCCCCTGTGTTTCTTTGGGTACAGCAGTCTCTTCAAGGAAACTTTTCTACTCAAGTAGAAATTGGACAGAAGCACTCTCATGTTTGCATGAGTGGCCCATGAATTGTGTGCCCTTCTGTGCTTGCAGCTGGCCGTGAGCCGGCTGTTTGAGGAAACCAAAGAGAGACTGCTTGTTGTTCAGCTAATTGAGAAAACCAGAGCAAGAACCCAAGTGATTCACCCTGTTTCTTCCCTGATACTAGTTGGGAGTTGCTATGGGTTGAATTGTGTCTCCCCAAAAGATAATGCTGAAATCCTAACCCATGAGACTGCAGAATGTGAGTTTGAGAATGGGGTCTTTGAAGATGTAATTGGTGAAGTTAGGGTGAGGACATACTAGAGTGGTGTGAGCCCTTCATCATAACTGGTGTCCTTATAAGAAGGAAATTTTGCTACAGAGAGGGAACTCCACATCAAGACAGAGGCACAGAGGGGCACCTGGGTGGCTCAGTCGGTTAAGCGTCCAACTTCGGCTCAGGTCATGATCTCACAGTTCGTGGGTACAAGCCCCGCATCGGGCTCTGTGCTGACAGCTCAGAGCCTGGAGCCTGTTTCAGATTCTGTGTCTCCCTCTCTCTCTGACCCTTCCCTCCTCACGCTGTCTCTATCTCTCAGAAATAAATAAAAACTTTGAAAGAAAAAAAAAAAGACAGAGGCATGGATTGGAGTAACGTTGCCAGAAGCCCGGAACACCAGGCACCACCAGAAGCAAGGAAGACGCGAAAGGATCCTCTCTTGGAGCCTCCGACAGAGCACGGCCACCACCCATTGGTTTTGGATTTCTAGCCTCTAGAACACTGCTCAATATAATTTTTTTATTTGTTTGTTTTAAGCCACCAAGTTTGTGGTACTATGTTACAACAGCTGTAGAAAATAAATACAGAGGTGTCTTAGATGAATTTAAGGAAAAAAATAGAAACTAATAACCTTTTCCAAACTTTCATCATTCGAGAGACCTAGGAATCCAAGTCTGGTTACTGCCTTTTACTTTGTTCTAGATAGTCCTCCTGGAAAGGAACAGATAACACAGATTATATATGCATTGGTGACCTTGGAAGCAAGTCAACTTTGAAGCTGCCCTTGGCAAGGAGCTCTTGTTTTTCTCCATTATTATTGTCTCCTCCCCCCCCCTCCCCCCGGATGAAGGTCCTAGACTTGCAACAAAAGATGTTGTGTTCATCTTACAACGGGGAGCTCTTCTTCCCTGGAGCTCTGTGTCTATCGGGGCCTTATTCCAGCATACACCCTGAGGGGGGGATCTCCATCCTACAAACGATGCAGCATTTCCCTATCTGTGAAAAGAAAGAAGGAGTCAAACTTAATATCTGTGTTTTGAGGTATCAATTACATATAATAATTACATATAAGGTTAACTCATAATTCTTGCTACCAAGCATAAATTATTCAAGCACGGTGGCCTCCTATGGTTCAAGATGAACAAAGCCCCATATAATTAATACATTCAGCACATTAAATTACATAATAAGTCACTAGTAAAAAAGAGGAGGTTCACATGAAAGAGATCAGCTACACAAGTCTCTCAATAAAAATTTGGTGTTTCAAAAGGGAAGATTCACCAATAAGCTAACATTTCTGAAGTGGACTTCACAGTTACACAACTTCAAGAGACGACGTCTGTTTTCTTGCCCTAAGTGGTCTCTCTACACCTCACAGAGAGCAGTGTGTCCCTGGACAAGCATGGTCACACAAAGCAGAAGCCATTTCCAGTTCTGTTTATGGAATTCTCTTTTCTACAGAGATCTAAGTTGGGCCTGGCTTAAGGCTACTTTTTATAGAATGTTATCATCTAAACAATGTCCATAAGTGGCAAAGACCTTCTCCCTAACAGCAAAAGACTCAAGATTGTCTGGGGTTGTATAAAGTCTGCTTTCTTTAATCTCTATTGATGTGCACATATTTGAGGTCCTAAAACTGTATCTTTTGTTTCAGTCATAAGGGAGCACCTCACAGGTATTTACCCAAAGGCTAAGTTGCTATTATCCTTGGGGATATTTTGTGATGGCTTCTTTCAGGATTTGTTCACCGCCCCCCAACTCCCGCCACTGATGGATACTGCCTGCCATGTACTGTACCCTGGACCAGGAATGACAAGAGAAATGGTCCAGACCAGGAGTAGTTTCCTCCATCAAGGAGCCACACACTGTTTGGGGAGATAAGAAACAAATGTAAATATCTAAGTGGTGCATTAAGTTGGTATCTGGACTCTCTAGTCACTGATAATTTAGACACATCAGGTGCATTTGGAGAGTCAGCAAGGCAGATGAGCTAAGTGCGTGGAGATAGACTGAGGCTATCGTTGAGGCCGAGAGCAGAGTCCTGCACTTAAGCATTTCAGCAACCTGAGAACAAGAGTCCCTCTCCACAGTCACTCGACCCAGTCAGTGTGTCGCACATTGACGCCAAAGTGTTAAGTATTGCAGGAAATCATGGGAATTTTTGGAATGAAGTGGAACTGGGTAATTTCTGGGTAAAATTTCTGGTGCCCAAATCATACCATCATGTGGTATGACTGGTAAATGGCCAGTCCTAATTTCAAGAGGTAAAGGAGTGTCATTCTCGTGTGTGCTAGAAGCAGAATAGAGCCTCATAGGGCAGCCTGGGGGAATGCCCACCACCCACGGTGAGCACAGTAGTCTTGGGCTCGTGTCTAGTTCTCCTAACACATTAGAGCTTCTGTTCTTTGTTATCATGAGAGCATCTTATTATGGGCATTTGTTATTAATATGCCAGGTTATTTTCGAAGGTGTGATGGTCATTGTAGTTGAAAAAAAAATACTTCTGAGGAACTTTGAGGCCTAATATAACTGCAATTTGTTGAAGAGAGAATTTTCATTTGTTCCCACCAGGTATCTCCAAGACAGTACTCATCTGGTGGGAAAGAAAAACTAAAGCTAAAGAAGATACAACTCTGGGCTGCAGGTCTGCCTACGAGCTGATTAATGTCTAGTTCAGAGCAACCTCGAGTGTAGATCTTTAACTCCCAGACTAAGCTGGATGAGAACCCAACTGCATCTCTATGTTAAGCGGCCCCTGGAATTTGTTTCCTTCTTCCTGAAAAGCCACCAGAACCAGAGCCTTGCAAGTAGCTCTCGTTTATCAGCAAATGCCCCCGGGGGCCAGGACAGTTGTGTTTGGTGCACTAACCTCTCTGGAATATTTCCTTCATTTGGATTTTGATCCCATGATTCTTCAATGTCTTTTCAGTGTTTTAAAAAAATATTAGCTACATGTTATTGATTTATAAAATTTGTCCACAACAGGAAAGTGAGTTAAACCGTTTCACTTGTCACAAAGCAGAAGCCCCTAAATCAGGGTTTTTCAGTCCTGGGACTATTGACATTTGGGGGTGGACAATTCTTTGCAGGAGGGCACTGTCCTGTGCATGATAAGTTACCTAAACAATATTTCTCGCTCCTACATCTAGATGCTGGTAGCAAGCCCTCTCTCCCCTTAGTCAAAACAGTCCAAAGTGCCTCCAGACATTGACAAATATCCCCCGGAAAGCAAATTTATCCTTTTGAGAAGCACTGCTGTAGAGTGTTGCTATTTTAAAATAAAGATTTCCGAAAATATTTGCAATGTATTCTGAATTAAGAATAATTTTATCTTGTGCATTTGCTTCAGATTTCAACTCTGTGATATGGAGAAAGAGGGTCTTGCAAATCCAGTGGGAAATTGCTCAGTAGCATGCGATGGAAGGAAGAACATTAACTTTAGAGCCAGATAGAATTGGCTTCTAAACCTGCCTCAGCTACTTCCTCTGACGGACTACTAATTGTATGTCTTCAGGCAACTTCCTTAACCTCTTCACCCGTACTTTCTACTTCTGTAAATTATGATCCTCAAAGGGTTGTTTGTAAGTAATTTCCTTCTTGTTTGGTTCGATTATTTAATCAGAGCACGTAGAGCTTAATCAGAGCACGTAGAGCACGTAATGTTAACTCCTTTTTGTTTTTTAGATGCTTTCTCAAGTATAGGCTCTTTTACCAAAGTCTTTATTGTGAAGTTGGGGTGGGGAGAGCCCACTGAATTAAACATGTTAACACACAAAATATTTCATTTAACTTGAAATCTTAAAGGGTCTTTAAGGTGAGCCTCAGGTTCAGTCTTTAAAAACATTTTAGGGGCGCCTGGGTGGCTTAGTCGGTTAAGCGTCCGACTTTCGCTCAGGTCATGATGTCGCGGTTCGTGGGTTCGAGCCCCGCGTCGGGCTCTGTGCTGACTGCCAGCTCAGAGCCTGGAGCCTATTTCAGAGTCTGTATCTCCCTCTCTCTCTGACCCTCCCCTGCTCACGCTGTCTCTCTCTCTCTCTCTCTCCTAGAAATAAAATAAAAATTAAAAAAAAAAACTTTTTACACATGGTGGGGGGAGGCAGAAACACGTTATACAACGTTTATGCAATGTTTATACAAGGCTGCAAATTGTGTTTCCAAATTTGTACTTTTCCTCTGGTGTGTTTTTACAATATTGTGTGCAGATTGTAGAGGTGGGAAGTAAGAAGTTTGTGGTGTAAGACATGTAACAAACACGATTTTTATTAGTTTTCACATCAGCTCGAATCAAAGAGGTCGACATTTTCTTGACAGTTCTACAAAGAAAATGTACTGAGTGCCATTTGCCAGGAACAAAGGAACGTGGTTTTTATGTGCTATTGCATTTCCTTTTCCCAAGATACATTTGAGGTAAGTGCTGTGCCCATTCTACAGATTCAGGAATCTCAGGTGTCCTGAAGCTCTGTGTCCGCATTCATCCAGCTCTCCTCGTCTCAGACCAGTGCCCTTAAACACAACCTCACGCTGCCTCTGAGAACCACGTGCAAAGGGAGAAATAAAGACGCCTGGACACCAGAGGACAGCGTTCTCTTGTAGGAAGAACACTATGTTCCCGATGAAACATAATGGGGAGGGTTCTTGAGGAAAGCCAGTGGTTCAGGCTATGAAAAATACAAGACAGAAACAAGCAAGGGGAAAGGGATGGTGGGTAGGGCCAGAAGCACGGGTTTATAGAAAATTCCTAACATTTATCAGATTAAAGGAAACATCTTTATTTTTAGTTAAACAGACACTCCCACCACGTCTATTCAATTTGGGATGTTTAAATGTAGGATTATAAATGATACCCTCCTGCCCACCAAGAGTTTACTTATGGGAAATGAACCTCCCTTTGACACAGAGACAAGCATCTTAATCATCAGATAATTCTAGCATCTGGACATTTTTGGAACCAGAGAATTCTATTTCAAAGCTTCTGCTGAGTGCAGGAATGCTCACTGGGCATTTTGTCTCCGTAAGAAGCAGAGATGTTGGCCCATAGATCTTGGAGAGAAAAGACCTTTGAGACCCTCCGGTGGATTTTCTTGCCAGGGCAAAAGAAGTAATGAGTGCTATTACACAAAGCCTCTAAAGAGAATACTTTAGCACCAACTGCTTAGCAGTACCTAATACTTCAGATTGTATCTGTCAAGTGAAGATTAAGTAGATCCTAAACCACTTCAGAATCCAGCTCCCATTTAACGATCTCCTCTTCCTCTGTGTGCAGCAAGACTTTCTCCCAAGAATGATAATGAAAGTGGCAATTGACAAGGAAAATTGTGACTGTTTGTTCAGTATAAATTTTTCCTTCTCAGAGGCTACGTATTTCTATATAGTCTAGCTCCGTATTTACCATCCAGAATTAGACAAAGCTCAAACACAGACATGTGAAATTCTTATAAGGGCTTAATTTATCATGTATGAATGGGTGTAGGAGTTTCTCAAGAAATTGATACTTTCATGTGCTATTTCCCTAGGTTTAGTTATCTGCAACTGCTCCAATCTCTGTGAATAGTGCGTGGTTCACACACAGTCATTTTGTGATCTGAGTAGATGTGAGGGCTTCCAAGTTGGCCACCTCTAAAGACAAATAGAAATTTGGCTCCCGAGCTCACCTGGACATTCTGTGCCCCATGAAGGAAAGAGGAGAAGAAGGAATGAGATTTGGAGCCACATTGTTTGGGGGGATTAATGGTGGTCGTGTGTCTTTGGGACAGCTACATAATGTTTCCCATTCTCTGTTTTATTACTGGAAAAACAGGATATGGGACTTGTGTCACTGGGTTGTTGGGAGGAACGAATAGCACAGCGAGCTCACAATGCGCAGCTCACAATATATGAAGAGAGCACCAGCTTCATATACATTTCAGTTCTTCATTAGTGTCCAGAGATGACCAGTTTATGCAGGGAGTGATCAGATGTCGTTTGGCAACTCCCACAACTTGGCACCTACAGAAGTTTTACGTAGAGAGGGAGAACGGGGTAGAAAGAAATATGGTGTGAAAATATGAAAAGTTGGAAATTCTGAACTACTGATTTCTGAACGGAGTCACACTGCCCCAATTCAAAGAGCTACTCGTTTTCCCATTCCCTGCCGGCCTCAGTGATCCCACATTTCTCAGCCATTGCCCTGAGGGGGTGTGGGGATCGATGGCTGGCACTTTAGAACACCCACATGTCATAGCTGGGGTCTGACCGCATTCTCAAGCCCCTCCTCCCCAGGGCAGCATGCAGTTCTTTCCCCTTCTCCACAGCCTTTATTTGTGCATCACAATGAGAATGAAGACACAGAGAAGCACCATCCAGATTCTGAGGAGCCTGAGTGCTGACAAAGCTTGAGGAAGCCGGTGCCCATTAACAAAGGGATGCCTTCCTCTGTCTGGTCATGGCACGGCCATTTTGAAGGTTACTGAGGGCCAGCGCTTGTCTTTTTGCTTACTTTTCTATGAGTTGTGCTGTTTCTGAGTAACAATCCACAGGAACAGGGTGGGGGGAACCTTGTTTCCAAGATGGGGACCAACACTACCAACAGTTAACTTAGGAGTGAAAAAGAGAATAGAAGGTGAATGATGCTGTTTATATGAGCGCATTGGTTTCATGGGATCTCAACCACTGTAATAGGAAAGGGTAATTTTTAAAAAAAAATTTTTTTTAATGCTTTATTTATTTCTAGGAGAGAGAGAGACAGCGTGAGCAGGGGAGAGTCAGAGAGAGAGAGAGAGAGAGTCACAGACTGAAACAGGGTCCAGGCTCTGAGCTGGCAGTCAGCACAGAGCCCGACGCGGGGCTCGAACCCACGAACCGCGAGATCATGACCTAAGCGAAAGTCGGACGCTTAACCGACTAAGCCACCCAGGCGCCCCAGGAAAGCGTAATTTTTAAGCGTATATTTTACAAGAATAATGTGTATATACACATACACACACGTACACATTCTACCATCAAATTACAAAATCCAGGCCGTAGAATGTGTAGAAAGTCCAGACGTTACTGGAGAAAACCCAGGTGTGCCAGGTAGGTGCCGCCTGGAATCCAGATCTATTTTGGGAAAGCTAAGCAGATGGGCACTGGGAGCCACTCACCTGTCTTTCTAATTCACATTATGTTCACTTTGCTGGAAAGCATGCCAGTAGTTCATTTGCCTTTGAAAATGATGCTTATATTTGAAATCTCTTTCACAGAGTTGTCCTGACATGCTACACTTAGTCTTCCTAAGAATTTGTCCTCCTTGATTTAAATTCATCCTGTGCTAAACCACACTGGGGACTTCCCCGCATTTTTCTGTTTTAGTGCTTTATTCATACTATTAATATGTTAACATTTGCTGGGCCCTGTTGGGCTACGAAGCGTTGATTGACTCACAGAATTTTAAGTGCATTTCAGTTTGCTGATTTTGGGTTTCCTGTGCCTAAGCTCCAGAATGTTCTTAGCTGAGGTGCCATCAGTTACAGTGTGTTGGATGTTGGCATGTGATCAGGATTCTCGCTTACAATGAAAAAGCCTCTGAGTAGGTTTCTAAGATCAGATGACTATTATGAGCCAAAGGTGGGAAGTGGCTCTCAGCATTCATAAAAGGTAAGCATTTTCTTATAAGTGCAACTCTTGAGTACAGAATTAAACTGAGCGAACAGTGAAAAGATGCCTTTATCATGTAACGAGGGGCTTGAGATGATCTCTA